TCTCTTTTTTCTCTCTCTCTCTCTCTCTCTCTCTCTCTCTCTCTCTCTCTCTCTCTCTCTCTTTTTCTCTCTCTCTCTCTCTCTCTCTCTCTCTCTCTCTCTCTCTCTCTCTCTCTCTCTCTCTCTCTCTCTCTCTCTCTCTCTCTCTCTCTCTCTCTCTCTGTGTGTGTGTGTGTGTGTGTGTGTTTGTGTGTGTGTAAACTCTTGTCCACCAGCCTATAGCCAGGCAGAGGAAAAAGATTGCTTTTCTCCAATGCTAATGATGTGCAATGAGATTATTATGAAATGGGTACAAAGCTCTCCCTCCATTTCCTCCCCTGTCAAGCGGTCTTACTCAAATTACCTTTTCTGTTGCAAATAACAGCAGAGAAAGAATATTCTAGAGTGGAATTACCTAAAGAATAAGTTTAGTAAGAACCTGTTTTATCCAAATTACCCCACAAATTATATGGTAGTCCTTTGGGTTTGAAGAAGACTCTTCTTTGTGCAGCTCATCTGTGGACACTGGTTGAGCTAAAAAGATTGACCACTGTACTTTAGAACAATTGATTCTCCTCATTCTTTGGATTCGAGACGAGATATATTCAGCTTACTAAAGGTGTTGTCTTTAGATGATTTTATTTGTTCTATCATTACTATTTTCTGTATTTATACCAAATCAGTAAGTTAGTTTTGCATATATACAATGTAAATATTTTAGTTGCAGGTCAAGCTATGTAACGTCAGAGGAGAAAACGAGGTTGTGTAAGAAGTTCTGCATTTATCACATTCTAATTTCCAGGTTTGGGAAAAAATAGTACATAATTAATAATTATGTGAACAATTGAGCATACATAGATATTTATGTTTCTACATAAACCAGATGAATCTGAAAAAAGATGAAACTAGTCACGTACAGTGGTGTCTGTAGTGATCAGTGTAATAAAATATATAGAATGCAAACTTTGTAAAGATAAACAATACACAAGGTATGTGGAAGTCATGTAATACCCATATGAGGGCATGACCTATGTAACATCACTAACCTTTTGTTTAAGGCAGACCATTTTTTAAAAGATATATAAGATTAGGAAAGAAAAGGCAATTAAAATGCTATGCTATCATTGACTTTGTAGTATGCCCATTTTACTACTTTTGTGTTTGAAAATAAGTCAGTGTGCTTGCTACCTACAAGAAGTGCCAATCCATAAATAGTGGATCATATTTTTATATTTCTCTCTGCTCTAGAAAACTGAGAAAAACGGATGATAAAGTTTCTTCATATTGCTATGCAGGAACAGTATTATCATCCAGTAGTAGTTTCACCCGAAGGCAAAGACATATATGCCAGAAGCCTATTGATACCATAAGTGCTTCACTAGAAAAAGGAATTTAGTTGGTTGTTTAGTTCCTTGGTTAAATATCAATCATGCAATGTTTATAGGATAATGTCAGATTATGAATACGTTAAGCTATGCTAATGCTGTTCTTTAGTGCTTAAAATAAGTAGTCTTTTAACTTAAAGGATATCAAGTCCTAAATTGGGGCCTCAGGAGAATGTTGTGAATAGTAAACTGCTCAACTGAGAAAAATTGTTCTTGAATACATTGTATTCATGTGAATTGTGATTAGCTGAAATATGAAACATGAGCATTACTTATTCAAGTTTTGAAAAAAATTCTCTGGACAATTTCTTGCATCTACAAAAACTGAACATTAAAATAATAGTATCTTGATCAAAGAGGACAATTTCATGCTATTGATTCTTTTCCAGATTTATCAGATTATGGTGTTTATTTCTCATTTATTATATAGAATATGTGATTTCTATTAAAATATATTTCTGTTTCAAACTTACTTTATCCTTCCAACTATAGTATATATTTAATTTTCAATATTTACTAGCTACTTTATAGTCATAGGGCGCAGAATAATTTTTAAAATAAATTCAAATAAAAATTACATAAATTTATTATAAAATAGCATAGTAACAGCAGCATGAGATGTTTATAGAGAAGCAATATAAAAAGTTAAAGTCTGAAAGAAGAAAAATGTTTGCTTGGAGCTGAAAATTAAGAAAATAGATTCCAGGTAGATGGGAGATATGGGTTATATTCCTTTACTGGAATGCAGTAGACAGATTACTGGATAGGTTACTTGAATGTCTCAGCATAAAAGGTAACCCTTCATTTTATTCTTCATTTTACTACAGTTTTAATGTATTCCTGTTTTTTTCCTTTTTGGAATATAAAATCAAAGACAGAGTAGACAATCAGCAATGGCTGATTGTCTTATATGGACATCTGTGGGAATTAGATATTTTCTTAAATATATGAAAACTGGATCTAAATTGCCACGTACCATTTGCTTGCTCCGTTTTTGCAATGGCTACTTGGTAGACATTTTCTGCATTGCTACACTCTTACCAAGCAAAAGTACCACAGTTATTGGTACTTTTGGTTTCAGGAATTTATATGGGAACAAGCCCTTTAGGTTTCATCTGAAGCCCCAACTGTTTATTATTATTAGCGTATAGCAGTGATGGCGAACCTTTTAGAGACCGAGTGCCCAAACTGCAACCCCAAACCCACTTATGCATCATCAGGTGCCGGGTGGGTGTGGCCCATTGGGTGGGCGTGGCTGCGGTGGTAACGGCAGACTGAGTGGGACTAAAAAGTTCAGTCAATTCCAACTTTGCAAGATCTTTTTTTCCCCGCAAGAAGTTGAAATTGACTGGTTGAACCTTTTTTCTTTTTCTTTTTTGCACACGGCAGCGGAGGCCTAAAGCGAAAAGGTTTTATAAAACCCAGCTGAAGGCCTAGGATTGGGGCGACGGCGCGCGTGCCCACATAGAGGGCTCTGAGTGCCGCCTTTGGCACCCGTGCCATAGGTTCGCCACCACTGGCATATAGCATTATTATAGTAGCCAGGAGAGCACAGTGTTATTGCAGAAGAGTAGTTTGGCTTGCCAAGGTACTAGCCCTGTTATAAGAAATGCATGCTTCCCAAGATATGCTACAGGAGGGCAAGCTGGCTTCACCTCAGAGAGAAAAGGTCTTCCTGCAGCATCATCATGGTCCCTTCCCTCTCCAGAACTGCCTCACAAATGGGCATTGCAACCAGCAAAGTTCAGAGCTGCCAGGAATTTGGCTGTCTGCACAGAGCACCAGCTCTTCTCCCCACTGAACAATACCTATCTGTCTACCTGCATAGAACATGCTTTCAAACTGTTAGGTGGACAGAAGCTGAGACAAGTGAGAGCAGCTTACCCTGCCCCAGAGCTGAGACCATCTCCAGCATCATTAAACCACTGAGCAGCATGCTTCAGCAACTGCTTATTGTAGTAATTTAATTGGAAGGCCGTAGATCAGTTAAGCTACTTCTGCCCAAGTTACATTGTATCTAGGGTACATAGCTGAGCTGGAAAAATGCAGTGAGTGCCTCAAAGAAAACTTGTGTTTTATTGACAAATATAAATATCCAAGCATTCCCAAATAACATATTTGGTGCCCTTTAGTGCTAAACTGAGTAACCTTAACTTTGAAGTAAACATGCAGCCCTAAGCCTAATTTTATACTGTCCTTGATCTAATTTCACAGGCCTTTTTTTCAGATCTTTTGTAAACATAATCTATTCCAGTTTGGAAGAAAGAAAAGAAAAAGAAAACAAGGCAGCCCATCCAGCTCAGTCATGAAGTTTCCAACCACTTTGAGAATATGGCCTTTGATTACTTACATTGACAGTTGTAGTATCTCAGCTTGTCTGGTTTCATTGTAGTATCTTAGCTTGTACTTGTAGTATCTTAGCTTGTCTGGTTTCATTTTATTGGCATCGCTGATTCAGTATCATGGCCAAGAACTGGTTAAGGATTTCCACAGTTTTATTTGAATAAAATTAAAAAGAGAGAAATTAGTATGACATTAGCATATTCATAGTACTGCAATCTAAATCTTGGGATTACTTCACTTAGGGGTTTTCTTGTCATATGGGAAAAATTATAATGTAATTGCTTTTCTCCTCTTTTAAAAACCATCTTTTGGCTCTAACACATGAAATATACATATAAATCAGTTTAAAAAAGGGGTTCCCAATCCCAGACCATAGACTGGTACTGCTCCATGGCCTGTTGGGAACCAAGCCATGCAAGTTGTGACTGAGCATGCAAACCTTCATCTGCACATGCGCAGAATCTAAATTATGCATGTGAAATCATCCCCCATGCTATCCACCACCACTACCAGTTTAAAAGGTCTATTGTCTTCTAGACTTTAAACTAAAATGGCCCTGGAGGACTCTATCATGGATTACAAGGATGGGTGTGCCATGCCAGCATAAAATGATGAATATGTGCAAAGTTGATCTCAGCCCTTCAAAAACCATCTGAGAGCAACACCAGCCAAATAAGTATTGAACCACACCAGATTGTACAGTAAAAATGGTGTAACTTGTTGCCTACATATGAGAAAAACCCTAGTTTAAAATCAGGACATTTTCTAGTTCAATAATCTGTGCCATTTCCTGGCCAAACAAATGAATCCTGGATACTCCTAAAGATTTGGAGCTGTCCGTTTTCATGTATAGTTTCTAACAATTGGCATTTTTAGTATGCTGACCAGCATAGCCACATACTATGTCAAGGAATACAACAGTTCATTCATGCAGCAATATTTCTTCCTCACTAATACTAATTCTACACAAGGATAAAGACAATTTTTAGTGTCCAACCTTTCTAAATCCTAATTGAAAGTGATCTAGGAAATGTTTATCGTTCAAAATGAGGACCCTCTGACTCAGGATT